CGACAACCGATGGGGAAAAAAGGTTTTCAAGTGGCAACCTCGTACCGGTAGGCGAAGTGTAGGGCGACCCCCCACTTGATAGAGTGACGATCTAGTAAGACATGCAGGAAGTCGATGGATGCAGGTGGCTTAGGACCGTGCTTTGTGGCATTTCTTGGGGGAGGCATCCTATGTTTAGCAGTGGACTTGTGAAGGGTTGTAATGATGATGATAATGAAGATCCAGCAGTGAATTTAAAAGGATGATATAGTCCAGAACTGATCATTTTATTTTATAGAATAAGGGTGATAAATGAGCACACTGCTCCTGGTAAAAAGTGGATGCTGTGGCATAGACACCACCTACATCTATTTATTCGCGATTAAGAGTCAAAATGTAAATGCGCTGTCACCTCTGAGGTTTAAGAATTTTCTCCTCGCCTCCTCTTTCGATGCTGCAGTCATAATATAGCTTAGCGCTTCAACGCGACACGTTACGAGAGACGGAAAGTAATGACTGAAGTAATTGCTTTTGAACAATAATTTATTAGAAGAGATTAACTGCGATTACATTTATTTATCGACCTGATGAGACTAAAGATAGTGGACGAATGTATGTTGCTTTGTGATGGTTTATAAAAGGCAGTGAACTTTTAACGGGTCGTAATGTTGATGACAAGGATGAAGAGGAGCATTTTATAAAAATAATCGATTTTAAGAATCTGTTATTAATGTGGGTTTTTAATGCGGTAGGCACCACATACACTGCTACAACACGGTGCATAGAATGTGCGCTATCCCATATAAAATCCCTTGGCTGTCGTAAAAGGCAACAGAGGGAAACAAACAAGAAGATAAGCAGCAGTGTCTTTCTAATAACCACTAAAAAATAATTTTTTTTTTTTTTTTTTTATAGAATAGGGGGCAAACGAGCATGCGGCTCACCTGATGTTAAGTGACTACCGCCGCCCATGAACAACCGCAACACCAGGGGAATTGCAGATGCGTTGCCGGCCTTTTAGAAAGGTGTAAGCTCTTTTCTTGAAGGTTCCTAAGTCGTATCGGTTCGGAAAATTCGCTGGTGGTAATTGATTCCACAAAGAAGTTGTGCGAGGGAGAAAACTTCTTCTAAATCGCACAGTGGTGGACCGCCAATCATCCAGATGGTATGGATGGTAACGCGAGTTTTGTCGCGACGTGCGATGGTGAAATTGAGCGGCTGGAATTAGTCCGAACAATTCCTCAGAGCACTCCCCGTGATAGATGCGATAAAATACGCAAAGAGATGCAACATCTCTACGCAGTGCCAGTGTATCGAGTCGATCGGAAAGAACTCGGTCGTCGACGATTCGAATCGCTCTGCGCTGGATGCGGTCAAGTGGAAGGAGCTGGCACTGGGGTGCCCCGGCCCAGAGATGAGAACAGTATTCCATGTGGGGCCGAACTTGCGCTTTGTAAAGTTGCAAGCGATGTGCCGGCATGAAATACTGTCTCGCTCTGCTGAGCACGCCAAGCTTTTTAGAGGCCAATTTGGCCTTCCCTTCCAAGTGACCACGAAACTGCACGCTATTCGATATGTCGACGCCAAGGATTCCGATACTGGCTGAGGCAGCAAGGGGAGTGCCTTGAAACTGAGGAGATACGACAAAGGGGTTCTTTTTAGCGGTAAACGCGCAAACTTGTGTCTTCTGGGGATTGAACTGGACTAGATTTAGTCGGCCCCAATCCGAGACTTTGTTAAGCAAAGACTCGACTTCAGACACAAGTTTGTCCCGGTACTCGGCGACGTTTTCCCGAGAAATATTGGCACGGCCGGTATATAAGGCATCCCCAGTGCTGTCGTCTGCATAGCAATGAATGCTACCAGTTAGCAACATATCATTGATATGCAGGAGAAACAGCGTTGGTGATAGCACGCAGCCTTGTGGAACACCAGCGTTGATAGGCTTGTAATCAGAGCATGCACCGTCTACTACGACCTTGATGCTCCGATCAGCAAGGAAACTGGTGATCCATTTGCACAATTTCTCGGGAAGCCCATAGGAAGGAAGCTTCGAAAGAAGCGCCTTGTGCCAGACCCGATCGAAGGCCTTCGCTATGTCCAAACTAACGGCCAATGCCTCCCCCTTGGACTCTACTGCCTCCGCCCATCTATGAGTTAAGTAAACTAAAAGATCACCTGCTGATCGACCCCGACGAAAACCGTACTGACGGTCACTGATCAGCTGGTGATCCTCAAGGTACCTCATGAGCTGGCAGTTTATAATGGATTCCATTATTTTGGAGAACAAGGAGGTGATGGCGATAGGCCTGTAGTTGGACGGGTCTGAGCGGTCGCCTTTTTTAGGGATCGGGTGGACCAAAGCTGTCTTCCATGAATTCGGGACTACGCCTTGGGAGTAGGAGTACCGGAAAAGACGCGTTAAAACCGGTGCCAACTCCGGAGCACACGTCTTCAGCACAATGGGAGGGACTCCATCGGGCCCACTCGACTTGCTGACGTCCAGGGAGAAGAGTGCTTTGCGAACCGAGCGCTGTGTAAATCGCACATCCGGCATGGAGCACTCACATCGCGGGATGGTCGGCGGTGTGTTCCCCCCGTCATCTAGAGTCGAGTTGGACGCAAAAAGAGAGCACAACAGATCGGCTTTCTCTTTTGCGGCATGGGCCAGTGAGTCGTCCTCTCTGTGCAGAGATGGGAGGGATGGCTGACAGAAGTTCCCTTGGACAGCCTTGGCGAGAGACCAGAATGCACGGGTTCCCGAAGGAAGGCGAACTAGCTTCTCGCCAATTCTGCCGATGTGCTCAGACCTTGCCTTGGCAATGACGCTTTTGAAGGACCTGGAGGCGGAATTATACTTCTTTTTAAGTGCGCTGGTGTTTAAATCCCAAGACGTTGATGCGTCAGCCCAGGCCCGGTAGCACTCCTGCTTATAGCGTGATGCTATTTTACAGGAGCGACCAAACCATGGCTGGGATCTGCCTCCGATGGGCACCACAGAGGATGGAATAAAAAGTTCCATACCCTGAAGTACCACATCAGCAACAGAATCGGCAACAACGCTGGGATCTTCCGGCGAGAAGCAAACCCGCCCCCAAGGGTAGGATGCAAAAAAAGACCGCATCCCGTCCCAATCAGCTGACCTATATTGCCAAACACGGCGGCAAGCTGTAGATCGCAACTGCGATTGGAGCGTGAGTGGCACTGTGCTCCGGATCAGACAATGGTCCGAAGAGCCCAGAGGGGCATCGACGGAGACCTGATATCCGTCCGGATGAGAGGTCAGCAGAAGGTCCAACAGGGAAGGTACATGGTCTTCCACATCTGGGATCCGCGTAGGCGAAGTAACCAGTTGTGTTAGACCATATGCCAAAGCAAAGTCGTAGACAGATCTACCCGCATGATCGGTTGAACGAGAACCAAGCCATTCAGCGTGGTGGGCGTTGAAATCACCGAGTATCACGATCTCTGCGGATGGGACCTGTTGTAGCACGGAGTCTGCAGCCATTTGGACGTGGTCGATGAGTCGGTCTGTGTCGGCATTACCGCTATGGGACCTATAGAGGCACCCGTAGACGCGGGGATGGTCGTCGCTGTCTACGCGCAGCCATAGGATGGACAGGTCCGTACCTTCAAGGCTGCCGAGGCGTCGAAAACAGATGTCCTCTCTGACGTATACACAAACTCCAGCCCGGGGCACAAAGGAGTGTTCCAATTTGTACCCCGGGTAGGAGAGATATGAAGTATCAGCCGGAGAGGACACCTGAGTCTCGGTTAAAAAGAGCAAGGCCGGCTTCGCCGTCTCTAGATGGTAATGGACAGCGTTAAGGTTGGAATGAAGTCCCCTGATGTTGCAAAAATTCACGGATAGCGTGACAGGGGTCTGAAACTGCCATTGCCAATTTGCTTGCCAAGCTTGGCAACAATGGCACATATCCCCTATGAGGTAATCTATGGTGAAGGTTCAGCAGTGGACTTTTGATAGACTGTAATGGTATTAATGCGGTGCTTTTTAAAAACAAGAATGATTTTTGCAAGGTCAGACATATCGATTACTTTATCCATTGACTGCGGATTTTGAACTCAAGTAGCAGCAATAGCATTCGATTTATAAGATATTAATATAAAATATGGCATTGACAAGAAAACAAAATCTGTTGTCTATAAAAATATGTCCTTGTAAAGAAAAGAAATATCTTAACACAAGCAAAATCCGTTAATATTTTTGATTGTATGGTGTTACCAATTTCTTTAGACATTATTTTATGGATTACTAAATATATGTTATCAATTTTGTAAATACAAGTGTTTGCAGTCCATTATTGATTGTATTTATTATAATCGTCATTGCAGCTCATTGCAAGTCCACTGCTGAACATAGGCTTCCTTACAAGGAATGCCACGAAACAAGGTCCCGAGCTACCTGCATTTATCGACTTCCTGTATCCTTTACTTTATCTAGTCTAGTGTTGGGGGGGGGGGGGGGGGGGTTGGCACCGTACACTTCGCTTACCAGTACGAGGGTGTCACGACTTGTATTGATTGTATTACCTAACAATGATTTCCTATCAGAAGAGTACTTAAACAAAAGCACACAATTTCTAAATACCCAGAACATGGATTATTAAATGTGAGGAATGTAAAAAACAAAACATGTTCATGGTATTGTTCACTATATTGGATTCGAATGCCTCGCTAAACGAGATATCAAACAAACATTGAATGATTGAATACAAACTGAGTCATAACGTCGTCATCGCGGTTACCGCGCTCGTGGCATTCTCATGGCTACCAGCACTAGTACGCTTGCACCGGCGTTCGAGCGCGGTCACACTTGTCGTGTCTGGCGTCTATCTTTCCGCTATTTTGGTCCGAAGCACTCGAATCCACTGATAAGCCGGCAAACTACCCTTGCACTCGCGTTGCGGCGCACGTTTCTCGTTTGCGACTCGACATTGCATTAACGGATAGCCTTGTTCGAAATTTAATTCGTATTTAACTTGCAAATCGCCGAGTGACGGATGATCGAGGTTTCGCTCACGAAGTCTATGTGGGAGCGCGAGAGAGAAGGGCTCACCATGGAGAGCTGCTACAAACTGTACACATGGATCAACCACACAGTTTTGATGCTGCTTCTACAGATATTTTGGAAAATGAGCCAAATATCGGATTACTTTAAAGAAAAGTGAGTATCAATCCACTTCCTGCAGATTTATTGTTGTGTAATAGTGACAAGGTCTAGAGCGAGAATTAACGGACAATTTAAAATTTTGATTGAATACTATATTGGCTTTTATTAGGTATTAGTTATCTTGGCTTAGTTTTAGAAAAAGACAATGAATAGTTCCTTTTCCTGTTCTAAAAAGATTTTCTAGATATTCCCTTTAGACTAATGAATTTAACTATCAGAATATCTTTAAATTTCTTATTACTTTTATTTATTACGTTAAAGATTTTAGTCTGATTTTATTGATTGATAATCTTTTCTTATTATGTTTTTTATCAAATACGATAATAATAGTAATCCATTTCCCATAAAACCACCATAATTACAAATTCCTAGTTAATTTTGTGCTAATGCAGTTAGGCACAATTACATAGGTCACAATATCGTCTTTAAAAACCCGTACATATTACCTAAATTCTTAAATTCAAAGCTCATGGATTTTGTTTATGCCTAATTAAAAATCTGGTGCTATTTAGTTTAATCTTTGACCGGCTTTTTCACTTGTACTTCAAATTATGTAATTATTAAAATGTACACAATAGCGTATTTTGCACAATTTTTCTGTAAACCTGAAATTGAAGCTTGTCGGTTACTCTGCGATTACAACTTAGGCATTATTTCATCGGTTCCTAATATCGATAGTAATCTACAGGACGTAGAACTCTTTGCAGTCGAGAGAATTTACCATGAATTATGATCATCACACGTGGCTTAGTTGCGGCTAAGTAAATCATCATTGTCTAGAGTCTAGACATTCTAGATGTGCCGATATCGAATCTTTGGAGCACATGAGTAAATGTTTCGGTTTATTTAATCACGTGGTCGAACGAAGTGTGGACTTAAACGATGCCTGCATTATACAGGCCATGCCAACTTTACATGCACTATTTGCGAATATTAAGTAACTTAAAAAAGTTTATTTTTTTTTTGTTTATTTCATTAGTATTGCTCACGTTAACTAATAATACATTATAAATAGGTATTCTCGAAAAATAATACTAAGTACACAAACAAAGGTGACGTAAACAACTTTTACTTTATTCAATTTCAAATAAATAAATGTTTCTCGATTTAGTATAATTACATTGACTTCCAGACACCAAACATTTTAAATACGAGACCGTTATTTACTAAACAGCTAACTTTTGTTTTCAAAATATACATAAAGTGAATTGTGAAACTACAATAGATATTTTAACTGGTAAATTAAATTTTTCTTGTTTTCAATCCACTTCAAAAAAGGAGTAGGTTCTCAGTCGGAACCTTTTTTTAAATGTATTGTCACCGATTACTCGAAGATGCTTAAACCGATTATATTTTGAAAAATTATTTTTTTTTATTTCAAAGGCAATATACTTATCAGGTGATCCCATTTAAATTTTATTGAAATCGGTCGAGCGGTTTAAAAAAAAAATCAACAACAAACACAATGTATTTTTGTTATTAATGGAATAAATGACAAAAAAAATATGTTGAATTCGGTTGTAGAACATTTTTAATTTACCACTTGTAAACTGACAATATTTGAGATACGTGTGAACTAATAATATTCGAATGAGATATTTGACCAATTCGCCGAGGGTATTTTGTTTAAAGTCTAACTGGTATTTTGTGAAAATACACGAGTCTATTGGTTTTTTTATTGGATAATGTAAGTCTGTGAGTGTGCCCGTGAATTTGATACTGCATCTAACGCTTCTCTTCAATTTTATCGTAGCATTACATAATAGATAAGAATATGTACCGGCGTACGTCACTTCGGAGGTGGGTAGGCTAGAACGAGATAGAGTATCTTTCGTATTTGTTTGAATATTATAGCACGTCAAGAAATACAAATTTATATCAAAATTTCTTCGTTTCGTGTTATTATCATCCGCTGTGGATAATTTAAATATTACACAATTCGTCACGAATATATAAAAACAATTTAAAATTAGAAGAAAATTAAAATGTACTTTACGACATTTCAAAGTATGGATCGCACGATATATGTAGTATTTATAATTTTTTTTATTAGATTCCGATTTGATAACGAACATGTGGCTAGCATATCACACTATACAGAGTTATAAACTATGGCTGCCTTCTCAAATAACTGCATTCAATTAATGTTCAATCTTTAAAAGTAGGACCATGTGTCCACTTATCTTACTCAATGGTTTTCCATTCGTCAGCGTCGAAGTCTACGTACACTCACATGCCTTCCTTACATTCTATCCTGATGTCTCCTCCAGCTTTTTAATTATTACTTTTGGTTCGATCTACGCAGAATTAGCTTACTTTTTTGTTATATGAGGGGGCAAACGAGCATGCGGCTCACCTGATGGTAAGTGAATACCGCCGCCCATGAACAACTGCAATACCAGGCGAATCGCAGATGCGTTGCCGGCCTTTTAAAAAGGAGTAGGCTCTATTCTTGAAGGTCCCTAAGTCGTATCGGTCCGGAATATTCGCTGGTGGTAATCGATTCGACAAGGAAGTTGTGCGAGGGAGAAAACTTCTTTTAAATCGCACAGTGGTGGACCGCCAATCATCCAGATGATATGGATGGTATCGCCAGTTTTGTCGCGATGTGCGATGGTGAAATTGCGCGGCTGGAATTAGTCCGAATAATTCCTCAGAGCACTCCCCGTGGTAGATGGGATAAAATACGCAAAGAGATGCAACAACGCAGTGCCAGTGAGTCAAGCCGATCGGAAAGAACTCGGTCGTCGACGATTCGAACCGCTCTGCGCTGGATGCGGTCAAGTGGAAGGAGCTGGCACTGGGGAGCCCCTGCCCAGAGATGGGAACAGTATTCCATGTGAGGCCGAACCTGCGCCTTGTAAAGTTGCAAGCGGTGTGCCGGCATGAAATACTGTCCCGCTCTGCTGAGCACGCCAAGTTTTTTAGAGGCCAATTTGGCCTTCTCTTCCAAGTGACCACGGACCGATAGTCTCTACAGCAAATGGCACAAATATGTAGTCATCCCTCAGAGATATTTGCGCGACTTACTCAGTTCAGCTACCTCTGATGCCACCCCGGCTCTAAACGAGGTACCCCTGTGATGAGAGGCCGCCAAAGTGTCTACGCAAATAGCATCGCACACTAGAGCTTTACCTCTCTCCCAAGGGACCAATGTCATACCGTTGGGTCTCTCGTCATCGTCTCTAAATATTCCAAAAGGCTCTAAAACCGAGGGAACATTTATAGAGACAAGAGCCCTTCGAAGGACATCGTTCAAAGAACCGTGCGGTGAAAAGCTACCAGCACTTTTGTTACATGAAAGTCCGTGGAGCCCAAACTTGTCGACGCTGCTACCACAGGGACACTGATGAGGTTGACAAATCGCCGCTCCTAGTCGGATTCCTACGGCGATGCGCAACCTTTCCCCGTCAAGTAATGTGCCGAGATTACTTGATCGTAAAGCGTGTAACTAGTGACTAGATTCCTTAGTCGGAACAGCTAGAAGGCGTGTCTCATCTTGGTCACTATGATAATTATGAAACAAATCTTTCTGCACGTTCTGTACCAACGAAATATCCCACTTGTTTTGTTGGTTAACTTCCAGTGGAACATTTTTGCCGGGACAGAGCGTTTGCCATGTATGCCCTGCCTCCGTAGCAAAGCACAGGTTTACTTTATTATTTAAGATTATGTTACATAAATCTAAACACTATACACGGAAGCAAGGAAAGCAGGTTTCATCGATTTTACGATTTCAACAAAATTCCTGCTTATTTTTCGAATAAAAAATCATCCAACTCCTGGAATTCCGAAGACCAAACATCTGTTTTTTTTTTAAAAATGGTTATTCTTCTTTTAGAATGCAAGCAACTCCATGAGCTTAATAGAAATCATTTATTTAGACAGTTAATAATTTAAACGCAGGCAAATTTAAAATAGAAACCATATTGGACGATTGATATTTTTATGAAGTCAGATGATTAAAATAAAATAAACGTTGTGAAGTATATTTTGAGTTTTTATATCTTCAATTTTACGTTGTATATTTACCCAATTAATCGCTAAAATATTAATAATTTTAGAATACATTATTCTATTCTTCTTAATTATTTATTGTTGTGATTATTTTTTCCCTTCGCGTGATCAGTATTGAAAAATTTTAATTTGCAAATTCGTGTATTTCTTGAATTTACTATTTTTCTGTTTGTTATAAAATTTCTTAAATACAGAATACATAAAAAGCAGCACGCGATTTATATACTCCGTATTATACAATTGAGTTTTGTTGATACAACAGAAAAAGAAGATATTGTTTAAAGCAGTCTTTGTGCTGTACACACTAATAAAAGGCTGTCAGAGGGCGACGTACGAGTATAACCAAATACGCATGAATATACTTGCAACATGAATGTATTTTGCTTCATTAACTTATATAATCTAACTCTTTGATTGAACATTTTATTTTATTAACATCTACCAAAAGCAGAAGTATAAAAATATATTTAGCTTCCACGTAATAGAGTGCATTACGCAGCACATATGAAACATAATCATTCATTATGTCTAGCAGTTAACTGGGAATCCACTTATGGCATCGTTTAAAAGTATTACTTTCAGTCTCAAGAGAAAGCGGTTTAAGAGCCTTCACTACTTCCAAGGCAATGTGGCAATGTCAGCTAGCTACTGAATTATTAACTGTTTGTTTTTAATTGTTCTGGCAATAAATAATCAACCTCTATATTGTAGCACTTTTTTCCACATTAATTTGTAAAAAATGGGTTTTGTTGCCTTATTTACTCATATAATCTTATTTATTAACAAATCATAACGAATATAAATAATTGATTGCGCCATTTAGCTTAGCTATTAGTTAACAATATTTTATGGTTTATACTTTATGAGTTCTTGGCTTACGAGGTGCAAGGCAAACGTTACGAATAATAGAACATCGTCATCATTATCATTACAGGTCTTCATAAGTCCACAGCTGAACATAGGACTCAACTAAGAAA